TCCTAAAACATTAATGAGAACACCACCATCAAACATTGGTTGCGAATCAATGGCAGTAATTATCCGATTAATTTTTTGAAACGATAAACTCTGAAAATAAAATGTAGGATTAATACCACAGAAAGATAAAAAAAACATAGATTTTCATTGAATGATTAAATTGTAGACTTTATAGTATATATGGATAAATGTGTCAATTTGATATAAGTTGTTGAATTATATGAAGTATTTAAAAGAAAAAAAATTGAACTGACTGATGCACGATGACATAGCGGAAGGAAATATAATAAAATTCTGTTGTATCTCGCAATACTTACAGTTAATTTTTCCATGATTTTAATAGCACCCTGTATTTGCAAACCTTCAAACGTCATGAAGGACGACTCAGTCTATGAATGAAACATCGTATAAATACGAGAAAAAAAATTGTTGCCGGTTGCGAAGATAATTGTAGTCAGTTAGTACTTACATTATACATGTTTATTAAATTTGGTCTTTGTGCGGGATCGTCAAACAGTGCGTAATACTGTTGCACGAAACCCTTTCCGATAACTTCATATTGGGGGTTTAATGCCATTACGCTAACTTGTTACAATTCACGCCCACTATCCGACACCGGTACTATCAGTCTTATTAAGTGATTTGATCGTTCGGCACTTTCGTCTTTTACAAAAATTCTACAATAAATGTACAATAATGCCTATTAACATCCCTCGTGTAAGATATGAGTGAGCAGGAAGCTACTTATGCCGACCAATCATTTCGATGTATCGAGAAAACCATCGGATTATTCTCGAACTCTCGAAAAGTTTAGATTACAATTTGGTAACGTTTATACGTTGAATCGCACGAATAATGCTATCGCAGATTCAACGATTAAGCACGTCAAGGATTACTTGCTCATTTCACAATCGTACAACACGTTCGCACATAATTTTATAAAAATCTTCTACATTTATATCGATGAGCAGCACCAGTTTGAACAAAATTCTCTATATCAGGGAATAATTTGCGAACGTCATTTAAACTGTGACATTGGATTGGTTTAACATTAGTGCCGGATGTTCACTGACGCGACATCTACAGATTGATTCTCAAACATCGGACAGTTCACGACGCAAAAGTAAGGTTAACTTCCTTTTTTCCGGTGTGAAAAGCCGTGAGGTGTGTAACACTTGTCACTGTAGAAAGTAATCCAAAAACATCGGAAGATTGGAGAATAATCGTTTTATACACATGCAATTATTTTGAACAGTGTTTATTCCGATATTTTTGGTATATTATGTATTTTTTAATATTTTCATATAAATATCAGATTTACGTACATCAATAATAATTTCGACTTTGTTTATATTTGATTTATTTAATGTGGAATGTATGTTTTAAAGTTTACGCGTCTAGAAAAACAATTGTTTTATATATTTTTGTGTTCATTTTAAAAAAATATGGATCATGTGTGACTCGTGTGTAAGGTTATGTGATACTGTTAAACACAATGTTTACAAGTATCGGCGTAATACATACATCTTATTGTGCCCCTAAGAGTAGTACATGCTCATACTGGAAAGATAATAATAATTATAGGTTTTTAGAATAGACGTTTCTGTCAAGCAATCTCTAAACTAACCATATTTCTATTTTTTTCAGTACATATCTTCAAGATGGTGAAGATTATGAAAACAGGGAAAGTCGTATTGGTCCTTAGTGGCCGATACGCTGGACGAAAAGCCATTGTAATGCGTAATTTTGATGACGGAACTACAGAAAAACAATACGGACATGCATTGGTAGCGGGTATTGACCGATATCCACGCAAAGTACACAAAAGAATGGGCAAAGGGAAACTTCACAAACGTTCCAAAATCAAGCCTTTTGTGAAGGTGAATTTTGGAAACACTAATTTTACGTTAATATTTTATAAGAATTTAAGTTAATTCTCTTCATCTGGATTGTTTCAGGTTTTAAATTACAACCATTTGATGCCAACAAGATATACCGTAGACTTACAATGGGATAAAGTGACTACTAAAGATCTTAAGGATCCGATGAAGAGGAAGAAGGTCCGATTCCAGACACGTGTTAAGTTTGAAGAAAAGTATGTATCATATTTGTAAAAATATTTCATATTAATATTTTGAAACTATTTGAACAATTTTTAATAGATTAGTAGGTGTTTAATACATGGATAAATCATATTTGTTTGCAGGTATAAATCTGGTAAAAACAAATGGTTCTTCCAAAAATTACGATTCTAATTAATTTTAAATAAATATAAAACATACAAATATTTTAAGTGTNTTGGATTGGTTTAACATTAGTGCCGGATGTTCACTGACGCGACATCTACAGATTGATTCTCAAACATCGGACAGTTCACGACGCAAAAGTAAGGTTAACTTCCTTTTTTCCGGTGTGAAAAGCCGTGAGGTGTGTAACACTTGTCACTGTAGAAAGTAATCCAAAAACATCGGAAGATTGGAGAATAATCGTTTTATACACATGCAATTATTTTGAACAGTGTTTATTCCGATATTTTTGGTATATTATGTATTTTTTAATATTTTCATATAAATATCAGATTTACGTACATCAATAATAATTTCGACTTTGTTTATATTTGATTTATTTAATGTGGAATGTATGTTTTAAAGTTTACGCGTCTAGAAAAACAATTGTTTTATATATTTTTGTGTTCATTTTAAAAAAATATGGATCATGTGTGACTCGTGTGTAAGGTTATGTGATACTGTTAAACACAATGTTTACAAGTATCGGCGTAATACATACATCTTATTGTGCCCCTAAGAGTAGTACATGCTCATACTGGAAAGATAATAATAATTATAGGTTTTTAGAATAGACGTTTCTGTCAAGCAATCTCTAAACTAACCATATTTCTATTTTTTTCAGTACATATCTTCAAGATGGTGAAGATTATGAAAACAGGGAAAGTCGTATTGGTCCTTAGTGGCCGATACGCTGGACGAAAAGCCATTGTAATGCGTAATTTTGATGACGGAACTACAGAAAAACAATACGGACATGCATTGGTAGCGGGTATTGACCGATATCCACGCAAAGTACACAAAAGAATGGGCAAAGGGAAACTTCACAAACGTTCCAAAATCAAGCCTTTTGTGAAGGTGAATTTTGGAAACACTAATTTTACGTTAATATTTTATAAGAATTTAAGTTAATTCTCTTCATCTGGATTGTTTCAGGTTTTAAATTACAACCATTTGATGCCAACAAGATATACCGTAGACTTACAATGGGATAAAGTGACTACTAAAGATCTTAAGGATCCGATGAAGAGGAAGAAGGTCCGATTCCAGACACGTGTTAAGTTTGAAGAAAAGTATGTATCATATTTGTAAAAATATTTCATATTAATATTTTGAAACTATTTGAACAATTTTTAATAGATTAGTAGGTGTTTAATACATGGATAAATCATATTTGTTTGCAGGTATAAATCTGGTAAAAACAAATGGTTCTTCCAAAAATTACGATTCTAATTAATTTTAAATAAATATAAAACATACAAATATTTTAAGTGTGATATTTTTTAATCATCCTAGATAATCTCAAGCATGATGTTAATTTATTTCACATTTGTGATATTTATACATTAAAGAGCTTTCTTCTCGTGTCATTGAAAATACTATAACTGGAAAAAAGTCGATCAATTTCATGAAACCATGATAAAAAATATGTTAGAAATGCAATATATCATTTTTATATCGAACTATCAGCAATTTAAAAAGTACTAAGAAATATATAATTTAATAAACGTGTATTAAAAAAGTTCGATTATTAGTCTATAATGAATTCTCGTTACAATAAATTATCACTTGCTAATTTTTTTAACACGTTCATCAAGCGCTTCTATATTATTTTTTATGATTTCTAAATTTGACGCAAAACTTTCTTGTACTCCTTTCAAAAGAGATTTATTGCTCTCCAAGTCGGATGTGATTTGTAATTGTAGCTCGTCTAAACGTGTTAAAGATTTATTAAACTCGGCAGCTGAAAAAAAAATAAAACTATGTTAGAAATCATAACAAAAATGATTATTTAATTATGAATATATTTACAATATACATACCTTGCTGATGAATTGTATTTAAAGCCAACATTCGATTTACAGTTTGAGGTAAGATTTGTGACATAGTTTCTGTTTGCTTCATGATTTCGTACATTTCTGATATCTGAAACAGATTTTACTGTATTCTTCTATTTCCTTTAACAATGACACATTTAGGAATAAATGTTTACCTTCTGTTCCTGTTCTGTATCTAAAGTCAATGCAACCTTTTTTTGTACAATAGTGTCCATTCTGTGAATTACAGAAGCCAATTGATTTTCAATTATATCTAGTTGGTATGTATCTAATAATGCAGCTTTTGCTCCTAATTCTTGCACAGCTTCCATTACACCTTGACCTTTGAGATTCTGGTAAATGATTTTCGTTATTTAATTATCATTCAAAATGTTGTATCATTGTGATTAATATTATTACAGTATTATGTACATTTTACCTGTGAAAATTTCGAAAGTTTATCAGTAGTTGTGCCCATAATACTTTCTAAATTGCAAAGTCTCTGTTCAAGCAGTGCAATCCTCGCAGTTTCTTGCATTCTTGCTTTTTCCGGGAGGTATGTCATCTGATATTTGAGAACATTAGATTCAGTTGTTTTATCAACTTTTGTACTCTTCTCCTTTGAATCAGATTCAGAGGTAGGAATACTTGTCTGTTTAAATGCTTCTATTTGAGATATCAATTGTCTGAAATATTGAAGGATCGAGGTAAGTTTTATATTTTTATGGGAGTATTGTAAGGGAAGAGGATAAGTAAACTCACTTCAGCCTAGTTCCTTGTGGATCTGATAGAGTTGCAACAAGATCAGCTCCAAGGCATTCTTCTAATTTTAAGCAATCCAATTGCTTTCCTAAATCCTGTACTTGTGAAATTATATCAACTACAGATTTCACTTCTGCTTCATCCTGTGCCTTTTGCTATTTGTAACAACATCAAATATACAATTATTTTCTACAAATGATGAACATTTTAATGTCATTCAAGCGACATGGTACCTTCATATCATTTATTTCTTCATATAATTCTTTAATCTCATGCTGTAACCGTTGGTATTTTTGAATTGGTGTTTCCATCTCTCCCTCTCCAGGAAGTTCCCAATCCCCAAATCTAAAATATGTAAATTATTGTAATAAACATAAATTATATGTTTTCATTTATTTGTCGTAGAACTTACTTGTAGCCTGTCTTTCTTTTAAGTGACACGCAGTCTGAAAAATCAACTGTCTCACTGATAACATGTTTACCTTTAAATTTATTAAATGCTTCTGTAGCACTAATATGCAATTTTTCTATAGACTCAGTATTATCCTAAAAATGCAAGTATTGATAATAATGTACATATTTTAAATAGGAAATAATGATAAATACTGTACCTCGGGGTACAATTCAAATTGCTCAGATTCTGGTAAATCAGTTGTCTCGTATACATCGACTTGATCATACGCCTATTTCACAAATTCAATATTTCAGTAATTCACAATGAAAAGAGAAACAAATGTGTGCTTTAATCTAAATACTATAGTACATAAAATTTAGTAAATTGCTGGTTTATTACATTTCCCTTAATCGTTAATATAGTTTGCGTCATGTATTATATTTAATAATACGATTAGGTCGACATAGTTTTGACATAAGTACTTACAATGCCAGGTAAGTCGGCATATTTGGGATCAGCCATTTTTTACAATCAAACAAAAAAGTATTGTCAGGATCGAAATAATTTGACACAATCCGAAAAACCTCGAGTTTCACTAACAAGTGACAGTAAATGAATTTGGATTCGAAATATGTATCAAGATTTCGATCGTAGATAGGAAATTGCCACCGAGTTGCCAGGTTTTACGCGTTCGTTTCCATTTAAGCGACTGTTGCGCTCTCTTGCAGGGAATAGTTGCATTACTAGCTATAAAAGTCTTTGAATGTCCATTTTCATGGGAAAATAATAGTAATTTTTCATTTCTGTTCATACTAGAATCTGACCAAAATGAAAGAAAATTAATTCGGATAAATTGTGATTAAAAAATAAAAAAATCGTTTCGTTACGTGAATATCATCTTTTAATCTTACATTTACAACTCAAAGTACACTTCCTAATTTTAATATCATCCATAATACAATCTTACAAGGATTCAAACAATAGCAAAACCATATATTTTACATTAATCCAGCTTCCACATTTTTTTATAAAATAGTGCATTCGGTCATGAGTGTAAAATTGTTTTGCGTATACATGTATCTAGTAAAAGTCTTCCTCTGTGGCCTTCGTTCCAGAGGTTTGGTTTTTTATCTGTTCTTGACTGCTGTACATAGAAGCTACTTGTTGCGCTGAAGTGGCATCTTCGGCGTTTTTATCATCACGAATACGAATAAATCGAGGGAATCTTAGAGATATGCCCTTTTCTGGATCCACAATACCAAGTGCTGCCTTATGAGCAGGTGACAAGGACAAGTCTGCGCATTTTATCTCCCAAACTTGGACTGGTTCAAACCAGTGATCAGGTTCGTGAGACGAATCATATCTATAATAAGACTTGGGTTGCGGCACTATGTGCTCTTTCAAGGATTCAGTGTGCTTCTGCAGGTCTTCTTCGCTGAATCCAGTACCAATCTAGGTAAAATAAATATCATGTAAATATATAAACCTACATCGTTTCATATGGTACTATCGAAATTCTTATAATACTTACTTTGCAGACACTTTGATATTCCTCGTTCTCTTTATCGTAACAGGCCAAGAGAAATCCTCCATAAGTTCCTGTTCTTTTACCCTTCCCTATGTATCCACCGATAACAGCTACATCTAATGTATCTCCGACACCGTCCAAATAATCTTTCTTCAATTTCAACCAGTTTCGAGAACGCTTAGCTATCTCATATGTTGCATCCCGTTCTAAGGTCTTAACCATAAGACCTTCGCAATTTCCTTTGACCGATTCGTCTAAAAAGCTCTGCACTTCTTCCATTGTAGTAGTATCCAAACAGGTTGCAAATTTCCATTCCCCATTTGATTCTTTAAAATTTGCTTTTAACAACTCGCGTCGTTTTATGAAAGGCTCTTTCACCAGCGGTTCTCCATTTAGATATAACAAGTCAAATATGAACACACATACTTGTACTTTAATATCTGCCTCATTCGCGTCCTACGGTACAAGACACAATTAAAATTTTGCATTCGATTAAGTACTAGGAATCTTTTCTGTAATTTCGATTACCTTACGCTTTCTGGTACTGAGTATCTGGAATGGAAGAATCTGTTGTTTTTCAGTATCCCAAGCAACTGCTTCACAATCGAGAATGCAGCTTTTAACGTCCTCTCCTTTTGTATTCTTGAATCGTCCTATAATATCAGGATATTTCGTAGTGTTGTTTTCTTGATTCCTACTGTAAATGCTAATGTTCCCATTCTCAGCAAAATGAATCTGTAAAGCATATACAAATAATTACATTCTGTTTTCTACTTTATAAAATATCATTAACAATGAGGAAATAGAAACCTGTGCTCTTTCTCCATCATACTTCCATTCACAAGTGAATTTCAGTCCATCGAAACGCGTTAGAACCTCCTGAACACCTTTAGTTGGATGCGCTAACATAGGTTTCATAGGAATACCTGGCGTAATTTTGCATTCTTTAGGTAACTCCTTAACTCCCTCTTTCAACAAAACAGGGACAATTTTATCATAACTTGGACATTCACTGAAATATATATCTTGGATTAGTAAACATAAGAAAGCAATTGATTTTAGTAAAGGGGAACGCTTACCAATATGTTGTTTTAATAATAAGCGCGATCTTGTCATACTTTTGCTTGAAGGCATCACTAGACATCTTTTTACTCGCGTCCAAAATTTCTGGTGGTGACTCCTGATTTGGTGGAGTCATCGCGCATGCTAACGATAAAGCCTGTAAGCAAGAATAATTACTTCTCTGACTAATAACTATCATATATAGGGCGTTCCACCTTGTAAAGTGTTACACACTTACTTGCAATACAGATTGTTCAGCCAGACCAATTCGAAGCTTTCCAGCCAAAGACCTAATGAGGTATCTAGCTTCAGTAAATCGGCATGCTACGAAAAGTGTTTGAATCTTATCCAGTTTCTTCGATAAAGACTAAAGAAACATCGTATTTATATATCAATGTATATGGTTGGTATGAGATACAATATTAAAATCAATTCTCGAGTGACATACCGCATTGCCAGTCATTTGTGCGATTTCTTTTAATTTGGTATACACGGTTGATACTGTTAGAGGAGCTGGTTGAAACATAGTTCTTTGATTCGAACGACTTCCCTCCGCCACGATGCCCAAGTCTCCGACTTGATGCACGTCAGCCTTTATTTGAGCCAATGTACGACCAGTACATTGTGCAATAGCTTTCATGAGATTCGTTTCCGCTACACCCAATTCGATTCCTGAAACAGAAAATTCTGTTCACGATGTCCTAGGGCAGAAATAAATGATCCTACGAATACTTACCTTCGTAAGCGGGTGCAAGTTGGTTGAGACACAAATATAAACTTGGAAGTAAATCGTTTGGGCTTAGAGCTATAACAGATCGAAAGTAGTTGGACAAAATTTCTATTATCTTCAATCGAGCGCTCGTGTCCTCTATCAGTTCTAATGTCCGTGTTAATGCAATGTATGGAACTCTGCAAAATTTCCAAAGAATTTTTACCCATATTCAAGTCAAAGTAGTGGACAGAAAATAAAAGATCATACTTTTCACCCTGCTTCCAAAACGCATCATTTATTGGATGATACTTAGAAGCACTAGGATCATAAGTATGGCTCGTAGACTTCTTCTTATCTTCATTGCTATTTTTTTCATTCTCCTTTTGCTTTGGGGCTGAAGAATAACAAGTGTATTACAATTGTTGTCTGCTTATATTGTTGTAATAAAAAATTTACCAAAGAAATTATGTATTTTCTTAGCAGGTTTTTTTGGACTTTCTTTTTCGCGTCCATTTTTCTCTTCACTACTAGATTCTTCTTGAATTTCATAATCAGATTCTTTTTTTCCATCTTGTCTATTTTTTTCCGTTTCATTAATTTTTGACTTCGAATTGTCTAGTATCTATCAATGAATATATATATATATAATTGTTGTACTAAATGTTAGGAAATATTATAATAAAATATTAATTGAAGATGTTAACTAATAAACGAATGTACCTTCACTGGTAAGTGACCATCTTCATCACTGGAATCATCAATAGGTGCTATTATCCTTGATCGTTTTTTGACAACTTTTTTAGTATTCTGTTTAACTTTTTTTATGCTAGATTCATCAGAGGAAGATTTCAATGATTCATTTTTTGGGGAATCTGTGTGCTTTTTATCTTCTACATCAGACTTTATTTTATTCTCTGAATCTGAATCTTCCTTCTCTTCATTCACATTTTCGTTTTCCTCTTTTTTCTGTTTTGTACTAATTTTCTTTACAGTATCTTTAACTTTTTCCATTTTCTTTTTCTTTTTAGAAGCGGTAAGTGGAGTTTTTGCTTTCCTCTTTTCATTTTCTTTGGGTGTACCAGGTGACAATTTGATCTTTGGCATTTTCCCTTAAACATTGATACCATATTATAATTTGGTCATTCTTCTGACTTTTGAATGTGCACTATTTAATTATCTTACCATTTGCCTTTTTTCTTGGTGAAGGTGTTGTCTCTGATGCTTTTTCCAACTTCTTAGATACCGGAGGACTATAGACAAAATTATCATAATATATGAAATGTAAAAAGGGTTCTGGGGTGTAAAAAGCATGCAGAATAAATGTAGATAAATGATAATAAACTGAATTACTAACGTATATGTTCGAAAATTATTAATATAAATTCGTACCTGGAAGACTCGCTGGTATCTGTACTATCTCGTTTTCGCTTCGAACTATTCGGACTTTCTTGTTCACCATTATCGGTTGATTTGCTATTGGTGTGTGTACAATTAAAAACATTGATAATCGGTGGCCGGAAAACATTGCATAAGTAAGTTACTTTACTCAGGTATACAGTACGTGAAAAACAATGGTCAAATGTTTTCATCCGAGCACAGGTTAGAACGAGTCTGAACATAACTACAAACTGATTGAATAATAAAGCATTATATCAGAACGTACCTTGAACTACTCCTGCCACCGCTATCCTTTACAGTCGATTTCGTGAAAAACGATCTAAGATCGACACAAAAATGAAATGTAAAAATATTTCATAACAATCTTAAATTTCTAAATTTGCTACAATAAAATCATCAACATGCGATAAATCAGTTTATTTTAGTTTACTTACGTTATACTACGCTGTGCCATTTTGACGTCTTAACCTCTTCATACTACGACGCAGCAACTAGCCCAAACTATCGCGCCCTTTTTCAGTACGATCGAATCGAGCCTCGAAACCATTTGAATTTGGCCGTTACCATTCAAACCCGGAAGTTCATTGTGTTCTTTCTTTTGTACAGGTTCTTATGATTAAAGCAATAAATCAATGAAACGAAGAAGACAGTTTTACTTTTCGATACTATATTTCTCATGTCTCTTGAAATTCAAACACATCTATTTATTATCTATTGATAAAATAATACAATAAATATCCGCATTATCCTAAAATTAACAAAATATCATTCTTTTTTTTAGTTTTGTATTTCCTTGGTCTAAAGTGTGCAATTCGTTCTTAACTTTTTTTATCCTTTCGAAGCTTTTCCCAAAAATCGTGTTCTTACAAATTTAAATGCAGCATCTTCCGTAACAACAAACAGCCTTAGCCAATAGCTCACACACGGTGTTTGACAAATAAAGCGGACAAATAAAGACCGTCGACAATGCATCGAATACAGAAAATCTTAAAAGGTATTATCGAGCTTTGATAGCAAAGAGAGTTCTAAGGACAAAATTGATCAGTGAGGAAAAGGGAAATTGATCGCTCGCACGTTTATGGATCGTGAAGTAACCGTGAACGGAAAGAAACAAAAGAAATACGACGGAGAGGCAAGATACATTTTGCGCTCGTTATTCTCACGATTATCTATATGGTCTATATTAATGTGCTAGCGTTATGCGTCTAAGGATCATTGAGTTTATCGTTCAGTAATTTACATTCGATTCTATACATAAAGTTGTGAAGGGCGAGTCCCAAGAAAATTCTTACCATGACAATTCCCTTTAAGATCCAATATGGACTCTTTTAGCAGCGCATTTATCATATTTCATTATCTTTTTTTTTTTTTTTGAACAACATCACGGAAACATTATTAGTACGGATTCTCTTGTACAAATTTGTATCCCCTTACATCATTATCGACAGTTCCAATCATTTATGTCTATATGTTTTTTTTTTATTTTTTCTTCTCAAGAAACATCACTGACCGAAAAGGTGAATGAAACACATTAACAACGAATTTACGGTTATCGAACAGAAGATTAAGCTTCACAGGAGCATTAACAAAGAAAAATAAAAGACGCAGAAGTAAACAAAGATTTTACGAACAGCCTCAAAGTGAATTTCTCAGTAAAAGGGAGATCATAGTAAGATGAACTCAGTGAATCCCGGCGGATGCTTCCTATGAAATGCTACAAAGCATATCGGCGATAAAAATGAATCGTTACTTTGAGAGCCTTACATAGACGAAGATTAATATTCTCCTGTACCGTATTGTAAAATAGAAATTTGTAGAAATTACTACCGCTAAGTCAGTTAAGTAGACATCTCTCATTAACCGGCGATATCGACAAGCTTTCACGGCAAAGTGTAGCGTACATACGGGACCTCCACATCCTTACCACTAGAGTCGTTACAGCAGATTTCGAAAACCAGAGCGCGTACATGAGGTTCTAGCTTCTTTTTTGATACTTTCTTGACTACTTCCGACATTAGTAGCCCCATGCGTTCTTCACACTTGGTCCTGGGCATGAAGAACGAGTACAGCATGCAGACGCCCTGAGACAACATGGTGACTTCCAAATTGTGATGTTCTTTGAAGTAGTCCAAGAATTCCTTGAGTGTTAATTCTCCTTTGACCTCGAACCGGTCCCACAGGTTCCATTCTGTGTCGTAGTACTTGAGTTTCGGTGCAGCGACCGGCTCGGAGAAGCCGAAGAACGGTAAAGCCAGATTGACAAAACCGTTCTTGTAGACAGAGAGGTCCCTAATGCCGCGAGTTAATTTGATCAATTCGAGACATACCAAGCCAGCCACAACTGAGGTGGTGGTCGCGATTGCTGGGATGATTTTGCCGGCAATAAGCTTGCTCTTATGCCTATCGGCTGGCGGGATTTTGTAGTTAGTAGCGCGAAGATTCGAGGCAGCTACGATGAAGTCTATGTGGAAATTGGTGTCGTCGTCCTTCTCGAACACCTGGGGATAGATCACCAGGCCATTGAGCTCATCGATCTTAGGAAGATCCTCTTGCAGCTGTTTAAGTCTTTCGTGGTCTACGTTACCACTGCCATTGGACACTTGAATCTGTGAATCCGTTTCGGCGATCTTAACTCCAGACTTGGGCGTGAAGTCTGGTACCTTCACGGTACTCGCAATCTTAGCAATTTCTTCCCGGTTTCTATTTGCAGGGATACCGTAGACCTTTGCCTTTAAGTTGGCGGCGGCTACAATGTAGTCTAAATGCAATGGGTCGTTAACATTGAACGTGTGCGGTTCTGGGCATCTCTTGGGCCCAGACCAGAACGGGTGACCGGTTGATGTTACTTGATCAGGAGGGAAATTGAACAGAAGCTGTCTGATCTGATTGCTATACTGTTCCTGCCAATGACAACGCGCCCAAGCGATGCAGTCGGCGAATGATTTTGGTCTCTCATCAACCAGAGCTGTCTTAACAGATTCTAATACTTCTAGTGGCTGTACACCAGGCAGTTTCAGTGTTCTGTCTACAAATTGAGGATCAGAGATATATTGAGCGGCATCCTCTGCGGCCTGACGAAACAGACCTTCAAAGTTGTCTCTGGCCCATTGCAGAGTGTGCTCTATAACATTCGGGAAGTTCTTTAACGTACAAATTGGTATACTCTTCTCTGGGGGGTCTTGTGATGAACTGTATGCCTCTGTTATGAACGGAACAACGACTTGGGTGTTACCTTTGGTACCTAAGGTACCAGATTCCAGCAACGGCTTTCTATAATATACACAACGACGATCCATATAAATACGAGCGTTTACGTTGTCTAAAGCGTTCGCAACTCCATCCAAGACCTCAAAAAAGTCGTCGTTGTAGATCTTCTCTGTTTCTGGGCAGACTCGGTTTTCGTGAGCAACTACTTTCATATCCGGATTCATACCTTTAATGACCTTAGCCGCGGTCGAAGATTTAAACTGTTGAACGTCTGATGGTCTGAATAAGAATTGTCTGTTCAAGTTCGACTTCTCTATTAGGTCCATGTCAGTGACCGTTACGCTACCGTTTTGTGCACCGACGCCCAACATGGCGAAGTTCTTGAGCAATTCGCAACCGATGGCTCCTGCTCCTACAACAAAGTATTTCAAGTTACCAATCTTTGCCTGGAACTTGCGACCAAATACAGCAACTTGGGAGTCATAGCGAGATCCGGTGGGGCAGCAATCTTCTTCTGTGAGTTCAGAGCGATCAGCAGGCAGACATTCGATAGCGTCGAAGTACAGCCACTGATAGATAGGGTGGAACTTGCCGGAACAGGCTTTCATGACTTCCTGAGCTACAATTCCTCCAATGGTTGCATTCATCGGATTCAAATTGCCAGAAGATATCTTCGCGAATGTGGACAAGAGATCGGAATTAATTTCAATCTCGCTGTCAATTGATTCCATTGTTGCGTCAGCTAGAGCTAAGAATTCATCCGCATCCTCTTGGTTCATTGGCCTCGGCAGTTTTTCTTTCTTTTCCAGATAATGATGTAGCATCATGAAAGCTAAGTGAATCTGTTCTGAATAGTCAAATTTGGCGAAATCTGTAATCTGGAACTCGGGCTTCTTCAAAGCTTCCTTGAAAGGAACAAAGCGCAAGACCTTTGGCATCTTAACTTGAGTTACTATACCACCGCGAATATACTCGGAGTATTTAGATGTCTCCCCAATGCTGAAGGTATATGGTCCAAGAACTTTGATCTTGATTGGGTCGCAACCATTTAATTCTGTCATTCCCTGTACCTCGGAGAACGTGACGTAGTCACCATCCTCCATACCGTGGCGCGTATCCTCCAAGCATGTTACAACACCTTCTGTGTCCTGAGAAACACTGGCTACCATTGCACTTACAGGTGACTCGCCATTGGTGTCGACCACAGTGAATGAATTCCCAAAATCACAGAATACTTGAGAAAATAGGCCTCTGGTATCGGCTATGATAAGTGCTATGTCATTTGCATGGGTAATTTCAGAGATACGTAACTGTTCACTAAGTGAAGTTTCAGTCAGTACAACAACTTTAAACTTCTTAATGTAGCAATCGGTTAGAGGTCCAGTATGATGACGTGTGGGAACATAATTGTTCAACTCTGATAAACGTTGGCAACAAGCAACAGCTCGATTTTTACCTGAAAATATATAGTAATATATTAGCATCATGGATGAGGTAGATTATGACTGTGCTGAATTAATCTAAATACACATTTTCATGGTTCTCAAGATCATTGTATATAAAGATATTACCCATTAAATTGAAATGCATAATCACACCTCTTAATTATGATTCAACTATTTATTCATGACTACATTCTCTTTGCAACAACCGATGCAATATAACTTTTCTAACAAAGGAAGATAGGAATTCATAATCCGATCAATGAGCACAAAATATGTACTATTACATCTGACATCATTTTATAGCTGGCACAAATAAAATTCTTATTTGCCTTGTTAAGTTGAGACAACAGAATAGTTCAAATTGTCATTAAATACTTGACTAAAGATAATTGCATAACAATGCAGGTGGATTTAGTTTTACTTCGTTGTTATGTATTATTTTGTTTCAATTGATTATCAATGAAAAAAGTTAGTAAAATAGTTGACAAAAATTTTCAGTTCATAAAGATATAATATGATGTAGTGATATAAATTTGAATCACTCTGCATATTTGCCAAATAAATTTTTTTCTGAAAAACAATGTATTATAAGACATAAGGTCTTTACTATGTTCATATTCTTTGGTAAAGTACAGATGAGCTGCATCACAAATCATGTTTAATCTAAAACAAGAAATGTATGTTTGACATACATTTTTCAAGTTCGAACAAAATGTATAGAACCTAAATCATAGAAAATATATAATATGCTTGCGAGTTGAAAAAACTACAAAACTGAAATATAAATTGTGCGTAACATTGGCCCAACTTCGTGTACATTATAAGCGTACAGATTATACTACATCGAACAAAATTTTATATTCATATTATTATTTTTGTACCACATTATGTTACTAATGGGTTTCCTAACCCATAGATAATGAAAAAAAATATAATAATAACAATAAATATTTATTGGTTCGAATAAGGTGATGAGAAGACCTAGAGACATGAAATAAAGATTAAAAAGTGCAAATATAACAAACGTGTGATTTCAAAGTTATAGTGGGTTAATCTTTGGCGATGAGACGCAATGCTAAAAAAAATTGCGAATAGTAGATGTGTGACTGGGAAGTTACACGGCATTGCGTAGAATTAGAGGTGTCGCGTGCGAGTCGCGCTCACCTATGTCTGCCTCTTTGAGGTAGAATTGCGAACCAAGATCGGAGATCTGGCACAGCGCGTCATCGTGCAGGGTAACAGACTTGACGCCGCCGAGGATGACGTTCTTAGCGATTTCGACGCCGAGACCGCCTAAGCCGGAAATCAGCACGTCAGAGGATGCCATTCGACGCATAGCGTCGTGACCGAGGACGTATAGCTGCCTGGAGTAGAGGCCCTCGTCGATTTCGGCGGGAGCCCGAGACGTCGAACCATTTTTCGCCATGTCTGCGATCGTCGTCGATTCGTCGGCTCCTCCCGTGGTGGCAGCAACGCGTCGCTTCTTGGCTGGGGGGTCAACGGAGCTCTCCACCACCTCAGCACTAGACATCGGACTTCACGGGGCGCCGTATTATGTCCGTCGATTGTTTTTTTCAACCCGTCCGACTGCACTTTAATAAAGCCCGTAAACTTCACCGCACGCCACACCGACCTTGCCGCACGCGCCCGCTCTCTCTCTCTCTTTCTCTCCCTCTCGCTCTCTCTCGCCGCGCCTCTTTCCTCTTCCTCGTCGCTTCCAATCTACCCTTTCTAGGCTGTGAGCGCACTTTGTCGTGATACCACTGTCCATCCAAGAATGATTCTCGTTCTTTTATCCGCGCTGTTGCTACTCCCTCGCAGTCGTACCGCTGCTAATCGCGATATCATCGATGCTTTCTCGATAAAGAGGGGACAAGGGTTGGTACGATCGGTAAAACAGCGAGATCACGCTCCGCGAACATTAATGGCGCGAGCGTCTCCCCGGCTCGGAATCTAGCCTCCGTTTCCGAAGACTTTGAAACGGTTCGTCAGAAACGATAGCAATAAGCGCGAAGATTAAGCATTTCTAAAATTTAATTTCGTTCCTTGTCGTTTCTTTGTTACTCCAACATTTGAATAATCATACATTGCGAATTTCCTGTTTGAATTACCGCCGTCCATTGGCTCGTAAAACGGACCAATAAGATCGTGGGATTTCGGAGTGAACCGAAACGATTGGCCAGTAATGGTATGGACCGATCGCAGTTGCAATGTTTTTGACCAATGCGTAACTCGAGTCCGATGTTTCTAGCAAATGTTCTAACCTATGCGAACGCCATCTGTGGCATGCGTTATCCGCGAATATGATCGCATCTATTATCTTTCTGTTTCTTTGTTCCTGTTTATCTGACGTGGCAAGATGTTTATCTGATGAATTATGCACGCGTGGCCGGCAAATTATTGGCACCACAGTCGCAGAATCGTTCGTCTCGTGCCGATAACGAGCACAATGGGTCACATGTCTTTTTATAGAATTTTCTTATCGGCGCGGACGAACGACAATGTTCTGACCATTCTCTGTTTGCTCTAGACGTTTTTCTTTTGTATCGAACCGGCTATCTTTAGGCGGTTCGAAGTTTTCCTGTTGGTCGAAGTCGGGGGACAGGCATGACAAAGAACTACGACCGATAAAACAACCAAATATACTTTATTTTATTGCACAGAAGTTGGTCCACTCCGTTCCTGATCCGAACGACCCGGAACGTATTTGGAGGTAGTATTTGATGCGTGACCATGACCATTGGAATTCACGCCTAAGTCTCACACACAGTTATGCTGTCTACGTGGAAATAAATCCTCTACTACGCGCTACGCATCTCCCCTGTTTCGAAAACACAATATCGTTGTGTTGCTTTGATAAAAACAAATACATATGTATATACATATACATACATATATATATGTATATCCTATTTGTTCGATTTGCTTCTTTCACGTCACCGCGAAAGTTCTGTCCGTTGCGACGAACGAAAAATTTGACCTTGATGTTTTGAAAGTGTAGCTCGTTTTATTTAGGAAAATAAAAAAGCAGAGACCGTTCAAAGATAACACGAGATATCGCTATTTTGTAAAAAAATCATCGGGCAAAACTTATACAGTGACCTATAGAAAGTTGCAACAGTATCAGTTGATCCTGAAGGTCATTCGTAATCTTCTAAGAAGTATAAACGATCTCGACCGATCAGTTGCGCTATGATATTCCTGTAAATTCCCTTCCTATTTTATTTCATTCTCTTGTTAGATTCTCCAGCTTGTTGACCCGGTTCAGATCAATACATGGTAAAAAGTATGGTTGACTACCCTACTGGTTTTCGGGTTACGTTCAAAGGGGTTTATCTTCGTCGTTGGGGATCGGACTGCCAAACGCCCTTCGCGAGGTTTCATCCTCCTTGGCATGTGTCGACTTTGTTGGGTCGATCGTCTCATCAGGTTCCAGCGTCTCGAATGGCGAGTATGTGTCCGACACAGCTGGAAAAGGTGCCGTAGGGGCCTCTGACTCCGCCGTGTCTGGAGCGCTGTTCACCATTTCTAAGGGGCCGCTGAGAATCGAATCCGGAGACTCATTGAAGTGCTCGGTAGGCTGGACTGGTTCGCCTAGAACGTCAGTCGTCTCCGAGAGCCTCCTCTCTTCAGGGACTGTCGATGTGCGACGAACGCTCGCTTTCTTGTGCCTGTAACCACGCGTTCCTCCAATCAATTTATAGAATAGCAACGCTTACCGTGTACACAACTGCACATTGCAGACAGAAATTGGCTGATGTCTCGAAAGTTCTTAAAAGTCCTTTAATCCCTCAAGGGACATCATTTAACTTGACTTGGCACATAGCAGTTCCTTTGTTCTCAGATAGAGACCTGCTAACTCGGACACATACCTAGAGACATGTCGCTGAACTTCTAGTCCACAATGTGTACCATGATCTTTAGAATTTACGAACTTACGAACTACGAAACTTACGCGAACATTTCACTAATTAGATATAAATCTAATTATGGTGGGAGCCACACCGACTCGCACTACTTACTGATGAATGTGTATAGGTGACATAACTTGATCTGGGCTCATTCTAATGACACCGTTTCCATTGTCCCACGAGTTGTGACGACGGTGTTGGCTCTTATCTTTGTACGTTTCGGCTATGTTATTATGGCTCCCTACGATCCTTCGTTTGTCCAGTTCCTTTTGAATCTTCTCTGGCATATTACTCGTGGATTTGTACATTCCATGCCTGATCATATCCTGGGACACAGAAATCATTCTTCAGTCGATTCTTAACTATCTAATAAAGGCAGATACTAGAATTAGATCCAGGCAGGAGTGTGTGCTTACAGAGGAAAGAGGAGTGGGATCAACATTCGGGTTGGTCCAAACGTTGGTCGCGCCAGGTGCGTCCTCATTGTTGCTATCGTTCAGTACCTCTGCAGAGTAGGTGGGCCTGGCAGGTATGATTGGTGACCGGCAGCATACTCTGCAGTAATAAATCCTACGGGATTAATGAGATATCGGCTGTCGCGACCGGCTCAGAGTGCATCGCACTTACGAGTTCACGTCTTCGAGTTTCTTTAGGAGCCGTTCGTTCTCCCTGCAGACCAGCTCTTGATCTCGGATCACCTGTTCTCTGGTTGCATACAATTCGGCGTTTTCTCGGCGCAGAGCCTCATTCTCCGTGATGTACGCATGAATCAACTGACTCAATTCTGGTCGCTCCATTTCAGACAGCTTATCCAAGTCGACGACTGGAGGAGTCAAGGGGATCTTACGTTCCGCTGTAATCATAATGATCATTGTTTGAATACTGACAATGAAGAGAATTTTAGCTTCCTTTTGCTATCTATTTCTAGCACTGCTCTCTCGTCTTACCCTTTGATTCGCTTCGCACTATATTCTGGTTATCACTGCTAAGATGAAGGGCTGCCCGGAGGTGCTCGTTCTCCGTCTGCAAAGCTCCCACTTCGCGTTTCAAGCTCAAAATCAAAGCTTCCCGGGGGTCCTTGATAATAGGATTCGTGTTATAATTATTCCATCTTAAAGTCGATAATCTGACAGTGTAATTAATTGGCGGCCGTGTCTCACCATCACCACGATCGGCTTCGTCCGAATCTTCTTGACCCTCGCTGCGTACCTCAGGGTATTCAAGGTCTCACTGGCGTTGGAGCGAGCTGGCGAAACACAGGCAATCTAAAAGTTCCAGAAACCAATAAGCTTGGAGATTACCAGGAAAAGCGATCGCGTGAAATTACAGTGGATATATCGTACCATCAGTGTGACGCCGTTGCCTGCTAAACTGTCGGCGAGGAGTTTGGTCAGCTTGCTGTCCCGATAAGGAATGTGACCGCCTTTGCGTTTCCCATCGCTCAACGAGGATATGCAGTAGCCTGTCCGGAAAAAGACTTTGAAATAACCCACTTACTATGTATTAACATTCCCGGGGTTTTAACTAATTTGCTCTATCTCGTTCCGGGTCTATCGATTGTTGCCGAGACATTGACAAAGCGCAAAAAAAATTGCATTCCTGCCCTTTTGATTCGATGCCTGCGGACGAACCGGACGATCGATCTCCGGCGGCGTTTCTGCATAATTGACGCCGAGAAACTTTCCGGTCAAGCGTAATTCAATTACAACAGAGTTTACTATCGGCAACATGGCCGCGATTTCCTGATCGTACCTAGAACCATCAGGCTCTTGTTGATGTTGTTCGCTTCCTCCAGGGTCTTGCCCTCGCTCTGCGTCTTCTTCGTCATCTCGCTGCCGGCCAGGTCGACGAAATTGATCTTTCCTTGCTTCGAGATGAACACGCTGTTGTCCATCTGTCGTTGATCATGATATAGTTACTATATTTGCTGGCTTTTCGATAGTTCTCTTTTTACATACTACCCACCGGAGGTCTGTCGAAGTTTAATCACCTACCGACAGGTACAGTGTTAAGTGTCTGATGGAGTTACTCACCTGTTGCTCAGACGTAATACTTATGGTAAGGATGCTGTGGCTCCTGCTGGAGTGATCGTTCATGTTGTGCGCGCCGACAGATCTGTTCCTCATACCTGAACAGAAATTTGCATTTCAGTTTCTAGGTGCACCGAGCTAGAGTCCGTTACAATCTTTTTAAAATCGTGAAAATTATCTGTATCCAGCACCGTTCAGTCATCGGTAATGGCTAGAATTATTATCATTGTTAAACCGATTGGGTATCGTTGGAATTGTTACTTATTTAATTGGAACTGAATGTACTGCGCACTGTTGCTCTACCCTCTAAAAATGTAATGTTGCGTGCAGGGGATCGATTAGACGGGGTTAAAGCCCATCAGTCAGGAGTGCAAAGGTGGGGATCGATAACCGGCTACCTTCTTCGAGGACCGCGAGAAGGTCATCAAGCTCCTCGCACTCGACGGTGAAAAGATTCTCGACGAAGAAACCCCGTGTCTTCTTGCTCCATCGGACCATCAGAGGTTTCCTCGACGTTCCAGGATTCAGCAGATCTATCACCTACCGATAGAAAATGATTGTATAAAATTCATTCGTTGCCGGATGATTGGCAATTTCGTTCGGTGTTTACCTTCTCATTGTAGATCTCTAGGAAGGAGGCTCTCAGAACGAAGTTGCACTGTTCCCGCTCCTGTAGGAGCTTGAATAGGTAGACGAAAGACCGGAAGACCAGGCCGTTTTCCTCCGAGTAAGAATTGATCCTGTCAAACTAGATAGAGGATCGTCGATTAATGATCTTAACGGTGCTTGAAGCGTAAAAACCAATAAAATTTTGTATAAAATACTTAATTGCTTTTAGGGGTATTTTTACGCTTTACCTTTTAGCCTTGAGTCTGTCTTTTAAAAAGAGCCACGTCGAATACTACGTACAGCTAACACTATATATATCTACAAATCAGTCGTTACAATTTAAAGAAGCGATCGGTAGCCTAAACAGACGACAAAGTTTTTGTGTACACAAAAAGTCGGCATAGTAGACTGTTCGATGGGCTATTGCACTGTTATTATCTTATCCATGCATGCCGATTAGAATTAACCTTTCCGTTGCTTTTGCATCGACCTTCGAGGCGAACAGCTGCATCGATATATATTATTTGTCGGTCTCCGACTTCCTGGTTATACTTAAAAATATTTATCGTCCCGCGAAAGATGAAGTTAGAGGAAGTTAGAGAAGCGGTTTTACGGGGATTGGTTCCAGCGATTTAGACCAGCTTACCATCCCCGGAGGTCCCGTGAGGGTGTGAGTTTTCCCACTTCCTGTCTGCCCGTAGCAAAACGCGGTGCAGCTGAACCCTTCCACCGCCATTTCGATGAGCTTCTTGATACCGGAGAACTGCAGGATGTCCTCTTGAGAAGCCGTGGGCTCGAAGACAACGTTGTACGAAAATAGTTTACCCTTCTTGTCCCCGCTGTTCGGCGATCCTTCGCACTGCAACCGTGAAAACTGGCGATTATTAATTCTGATTGAAGCGGAAATATTTTCCACCCTTAACTGGACCAGCAGATCCGCTCTAATCTCTGTTAATAATTAGGTCGATGAGCTGATGCATACGCGAAGAACAATAAAAGTATTCTTACACCATTTTAAACTTACTTAAATCACTGAAAACTGCTGTAACATTACCCAAAATTATTTTCAGACTATCTTCCTTTCTATTCAAAGAATTGGTAAAGTTTTAGATACTACAAGAATTGCTGGATTCAATTTCATTGGATTTAGAAGTTAGAACAGTTTCGAGTGGGCTAAATCGAAGACTAACTGAAGACTTCTACAGCTTCGTTGTGCGACACTCACGTAAATCTGTCCATCCCCGGGAAACTGCACCGCCATACGATCGCCCTTCTTGATTTCCCTATTGCTAAGCGGGCGTACCCTAAAAATCCAAAGAACGACGGTTGAAAGAAACGCTTGTAGGTGACAAATGAATATTGGATCGTGTTTCACATTACCTGACGACGACATTTATATTATTCTCTGGAAGCAAGTGTTTCGTGGCTATCACCCTCTTGTCACCGTCCACGAGCCTCTCGATGCTGCCGGTTCTGCAAGCAATAATCAAACCGATATTGTAACCGATCACCATGAAAATCCCGACGGCAACACTGACGCTTTTCTGTACAGCCCGAGCATTATTCCCTTTCACGGCCGACCGTTTCAACCGGAATAACCGTTCGCCCGTTCCGTGATTGACCCTCGAATACCGGTGGCTCAATAATTTAGATGGTTCAATCAATCGGCCCGAGGAAAGCTCTCGCGTGATTGACCGGCTTCATTTATGATTTCATTTTCTCACGGGCCGTGGCCTCCGTCAATGATTCACGGGAGGCCGATTGCTTGGACGATTGCCCGATTTTCTGGCCCATTGGAAATGCAACAGCGCATTTCTCCGCGTGAAAATAAATGCAACCAGAAACACCGATTCTGCAGCCTTACAATGAGATCGTCGAACGATTTTCTACCGTGCTCCGACGAAGAGACGCGGAATATTCGCCTTCGGCCGAGCCCGACATTGTCCAAAATCCAGGTACAAGCGTACAGAATTCAATGCTGCATCATGCTCGCAGAGACAATTGCGATTCGAATTCAATTCCGGCACCTTCCGAATCGAATTTCCATTATTTTCGGTACAGGGAGCACGGGCCCGACGTGCAAGAGCATCTGGCGCAACGCGAGCATATTCCGCATGAAATTCCACGCGTGCCCGTCGCATACAGATGCATCGGGCACGTTTCACACGGGTGCATCGAGCACGTTTCGCCGGCGATAATTGCAGCCGCGGTCGCAATCGTGAGTCAGCGCGAACCGCGCGCAGTTACCGATTCCAATAATTTTCTCGTCGATAATCGATTATTTATTCACGGTGCGGTAGTGTAGGTGCGCGGCGAGCCCGTGCGTGTCGCCCAGTTGTCACCCCCTTGAAACCGAAGGGGTCAATGTCGGTTGTTGCACTTAGGCGAACGCCGGAAGCGGGAACATCGCGATCAACTATTTTTCCTATATATGTATATAGCGTCGTCCAGCTACGTCGCCAAGTGCACGTTCACGCAACCCTCGATCAATTTTCTTGCTGGTTGCATACAGCTACGATCAGACTGCGCATTCGACGTATGTGCTGTCTAAGACCGTATTATGCAATGCAGCCGGGTTCTCGGTTTAACGGAACCTTAGCGAAAATCCTTGACAAGAGGAGCATCGCTTTAACTCGAACTCTGTTGCTCGAAAATCGCCATTCATTTCTCTCGAACCGAAACAAAGTGATTCGTGTTCTCGAATTTCTTCCACTCACCGAAGAATTCCTTGCGAGATGGCGATAAAATAAAAATATAAAAGTATGCAGATTTTGCATACCAGGATTTTTGCGGATTTTTATGCAAATTCTAATTGTCATATATTATTTAATAATATTATATTTAATAAGAAAAAAAAATTTAATAATAATAATATTATTTAATATTATATAATAATAATTATCAGGTAGAAGATACCTTATAATAGAAATAATATAATAGAAATATAATAGATAATATAATAGAAATAGAATAAAAATGTCATCAATGTCTCCGTTTGTTGCATTTCTTTTCTTGTTTTCTTTTTTCCTTCGCATGATTAATATTTACTAAAGTAGTTTCTATTTGCGACGCATTTCTGAAGACCATCGAACAATCGCGTTAAGAGTTCGCGACTGCGTTCTAACGTCGTTTTATCGCGATCAGGTCCGCAATTATACTAAAAGCGCGATAGGAGGACGCGTTCAATGTTCACAACTTTTTCGAAATTGCGACGGTTCGACAGGAAATGTTTTCAGGAACTGACCAATTTCGCGCATCCACGCGAACCCGTTTTTCTTCGCATTTCGTAACGCGAAACGGCCATAAAACGACAGGCAACTCGGCACCGTCACGCGAATCTGTATCGCGTATCAATTTATCGTATTATCGTATTAATTTATATATATTAATATTATATTATATATTATTATTATATATATTAATATTATATTATATCTGTCTCTTATACACATCTAGATGTGTATAAGAGACAGATATAATAATAATATATAATATAATATTAATATATATAATAATAATATATAATATAATATTAATATATATAATAATAATATATAATATAATATTAATATATATAATAATAATATATAATATAATATTAATATATATAATAATAATATATAATATAATATTAATATATATAATAATAATATATAATATAATATTAATATATATAATAATAATATATAATATAATATTAATATATATAATAATAATATATAATATAATATTAATATATATAATAATAATATATAATATAATATTAATATATATAATAATAATATATAATATAATATTAATATATATAATAATAATATATAATATAATATTAATATATATAATAATAATATATAATATAATATTAATATATATAATAATAATATATAATATAATATTAATATATATAATAATAATATATAATATAATATTAATATATATAATAATAATATATAATATAATATTAATATATATAATAATAATATATAATATAATATTAATATATATAATAATAATATATAATATAATATTAATATATATAATAATAATATATAATATAATATTAATATATATAATAATAATATATAATATAATATTAATATATATAATAATAATATATAATATAATATTAATATATATAATAATAATATATAATATAATATTAATATATATAATAATAATATATAATATAATATTAATATATATAATAATAATATATAATATAATATTAATATATATAATAATAATATATAATATAATATTAATATATATAATAATAATATATAATATAATATTAATATATATAATAATAATATATAATATAATATTAATATATATAATAATAATATATAATATAATATTAATATATATAATAATAATATATAATATAATATTAATATATATAATAATAATATATAATATAATATTAATATATATAATAATAATATATAATATAATATTAATATATATAATAATAATATATAATATAATATTAATATATATAATAATAATATATAATATAATATTAATATATATAATAATAATATATAATATAATATTAATATATATAATAATAATATATAATATAATATTAATATATATAATAATAATATATAATATAATATTAATATATATAATAATAATATATAATATAATATTAATATATATAATAATAATATATAATATAATATTAATATATATAATAATAATATATAATATAATATTAATATATATAATAATAATATATAATATAATATTAATATATATAATAATAATATATAATATAATATTAATATATATAATAATAATATATAATATAATATTAATATATATAATAATAATATATAATATAATATTAATATATATAATAATAATATATAATATAATATTAATATATATAATAATAATATATAATATAATATTAATATATATAATAATAATATATAATATAATATTAATATATATAATAATAATATATAATATAATATTAATATATATAATAATAATATATAATATAATATTAATATATATAATAATAATATATAATATAATATTAATATATATAATAATAATATATAATATAATATTAATATATATAATAATAATATATAATATAATATTAATATATATAATAATAATATATAATATAATATTAATATATATAATAATAATATATAATATAATATCTGTCTCTTATACACATCTAGATGTGTATAAGAGACAGATATTATATTATATATTATTATTATATATATTAATAATATATATATTAACTAAAACAGCATGCGCGGTGTAATGCCATGGAAAATGACGGAGATCGACCGTGGATTTGACAAATTAAGGTTCGCCGTGCTTGTAGAGCCTCATGGGAATTCATCGAGCTACAATTTTCTTTATTGATCATCCACCTGAGTCACCGTGTCCCTGTAAAAATGTCCCCGGTGTTTGTTCTCGACCAAGAATTATCTTGTCGTTGTGCCAGTTTTCTGGACAGGTGACACGTTCGAAGGACCTTCTTAGCGACCTGGCAACAAAACGTGACCGCTCCCGTAATTTCGTTTCGTAATTGGTATCGGGACGGACGCCGATAAAATCGAGCGACATTGTTATATGATAATAGGCTACATGTCGGTACGGAATGGCGGTAATACATCAGACTGTCCCCATCGATTCTCGCGCGAGCCATTTCTTTATTAACGCCCACGCGTTTACGGCCGAACAATATGCCATCGGCGCCATTTGTTTCCGCAACTGTGCCGCGTCCTGATTTTTTATTGAGTTCTAAATCGGTTTCAAGTATCTTCACCGAATGCTCTCAGATTTTCTGCGGACCGCACTTTGAACCAGGAATTTTCTAGAGTAAATATTGTAAGACATAATATTCCATATTATATTTATAAAACAAGTTGGGAAATGTTAATGTGTCGCTACATCACTGTGAATATATTCAAACGAATTGTAACAGACCTGTATTAAAGAGCGAATAATATTTTTGTAGCATTATTTATTTTGGTAAACCTATTAAAATAGTTCGAACGTTTTCCTTTATCAGAAGTATCTAAACACTTGTCTGATTAATTCCTCTTCCCAAATTGTTTACATTTTCGTTTACAAGCTAAAGGAAAATTAGAGAGAATTTACTGTGCCAACCTTCACCAGCCCGTTCTAGCTATAGCTACAAAAAAGATCGCCGATTCTGTGAAGCAACTAAAATTTAGATCATTCGTGCAGTAGGCGATTCTATCGAAACCGTATCGAAACCTGGCATTAACTCTGTGTTAGACTGATATGGAAAAAAAACGGGATTTGATCTCGATCCGAGGTCTTATGGGTAGAAAAAATGCTACGATCGCGTGCAGAAATGGTAGAAACTGTCTGCCTCCCACGTGTCGAGATCTCTTTACACAACATACGTTTCCGATCGTCGCGATATTGACCGACAGAACAGAGACAGTCCGGCAAGGTCCCGCAATCGATACACGGCATCGACATGTGTCGCAACCGCGACGTATGCGTCTATCAACGTGCCCGAACGGCCACCCACACCCCTTTGGAAAACCGCGGGGGTGGTTTCACGCGACTATCCCCCTCCGGAAAATGGAAACCGACCGGCTCGCGTCATCTTCGACGAGAGTGCCGCATCGAGGCTATCGGTGGCCTCGATCTCTTCGAGTTATTTTGCACCGAACGATTCACCCCGCGCACTTCATCGTCGCAAACTCTTTTTTTTCTCTGCTTTGAAACCGCCGACCGGGGATGTTACCTTTTAGGAGTCGTAAGAGTCGTAAGAGTTCTATCTTCTGGGAGATAGTAATCATTTTCGGAGGATCTTCCGTTTTCTAGATGGTTCACGGTATAATGTTTCAATTCGCAGTCATTCAGGCATCGAAGAGCCATTTATGTACCTTCTTCTTTCCTTGATTCAGAAGGATTAATTTTGGATGGTTTCGAACGGCATGGTTTTCCATAACATATTCCACGAAAACAGATATTTTGCACGAAGCTTCGCAGTTTAATGATCGCGATTAAAAACAGCAAAACCATCTGAGATCTAGTTAATAAAATAATTTCGGCTGGTCACGGCGTTCTAGATAAGAGGATTCGAACGGGTCGAACCGGTTTCCATTATCTGCGAAGCGTCGCTATCGCGCGAGGAAACCGCTCGATAAGGATTGATAAAAATTGATGCCGGTAATGTTGCAATATTACATAGTCGATAGTTGTAATATTCACGAAGCTGATCAATAAAATGAGACATCGCACAAGTATGTTGACGCACGATCTATTTCGGTAAGAGGGATGCGCGGAATTGATTATTCCGTACATCGTGTTGCTCTCCTTGCCCTGTGAAAATATTTAGGTAGGGAACGATAAGATCGTCGCGAACTGTCTGTTTACATTCTCCGTTAATGGAAAATGGTGGCGGGATTATTGATATTCCGTTGGTCAGCCACAACACGAATTACAAAAATGAAATATTCAACGGGAACGCAGCCTTAACCTTGAGAACCATAATCGTACCGCGACCAGTCCCCCGATCTTTCCCTTGGACCAATCTACAAATTCAGTTGCTATTTCTATTGGCATTACTATAATTTGCACGGCTATACTAGATCGCAGAGATAAAATCCGCGCTAAGCTATTTTAAGTTGCACCATAGGCAATTAGGCTGCATATCATTATTATATAGCATACATTATATATGTTAGTAATAATTTTATTTTGTTTTTTTACAACCGGGGTTCTTTCGTTCGATGAACGAATGTTTCCTTGAGTTTGATTTTTAGTAAATTTCTGTAAGGAATTTGTGTAAGATTCTAAAGTTTGTGAGCAGGGTGTTCTTTCAAAGTTAACGTTGGCATTCCAGTGATAATTAGAGGATAATGTAGGACTCACTCGCTTCCCCTGGATTGTAACAGGCTGCTCCTGACGACCCTCTTGACATTTGACCCGCTTTTTCCAGGACTATTCCCTCTGGAGGCGATGCTATCCGAGGGACTATTGCCGCGCGAGACGCGACCCCTTTTCTTATCCTTCTTCGCATTGTCTTTTTGGGGATTCTCACCTCGGGTGGGCGACGGATTTTTCACAAGCACCATTCGTCCACCTGTAGACGAAATCGATACTTCGTTTTAAGACCGTTCTTAAAAATAGTGAAACGCAAACTTAATTCTTGTGACTACATTCCGGCTCGACAGAAGACTGTTGCTATCGAAGTTATAAAATTCTATGTGAATTCACTTTCTTAAAATTTTACTACACAGTGGCAAGTTGTATTGTTATAGATCAGATTTGTCAATAGCAATACGAATCCATCGAATAAACAATTCGCCACCTATACGCGTTCGCCATTTCGCAGGGCCCCGTGTGATCCACGCGGCTCGCACAGATCACCAGGGCACGTCCCACACCACACATCCAGAACAAAGATCCACCTAATGGAAGACGGGATCGACGCGAAACCGCGAATTGTCCTGACCTCACAATAGTGAAAGCACTTTATCTTTCTGGTGAACGCACAAATTCATACAATACAGATTAATTACGGTTTGCTTACAGGACGAGGTCTCTAGCCGATGGTAATCGCGAGCTGCCCTAATTGAAGCGAAAGTTCTGCCGAGCTGACTAATTGCGATTCCATAGAAATTCTCGCCCGTCATCGATAATGTATGTATCATACATAAAGAACAAAGCTGGATCAACGCAGAACGGTCTAGCAGAAGTTTCTTTTCATTTCACGGCATAGAATTAACGCGTTCGCTTCTGGCGTCGCTTAGATGCGACCAGAATTTTGTATCAGACCGAATGTTATTAACAAACAAACTGCAGACTTTTTTATACATTTTTCGTTCATTTTTATAACAGGATATCTAAAATAATTCTCCGACTTCTTCGGATTTTGTTCCCAATAATTAATGGAGACGAAAATATGTATAAAAATACGCATTCTAGTTACAAGGTCGGTTCGCAAATCATTTTACATTCTTGATGATAAATTGTAATTAAGTATTTATCATCCTAACGACTCTGCGCATTGTAGCGACTTAATGAGCGACGTCCATTAAGAGACACGATTGTTGTCTCCTTCATGGACGAATGAGATTAATACACCGAAACGTAAATTCTTTAAGGCTCGACCGAACATTACTGTGAAAGCTGGCAGCGAAAGAAACGCCGATACCAAACGTGTTAACGTGACGCAGTGGCTTTTATTGCTCTTGTAAAATGGTCCCGGCCGGAATATCGGTAATACTTCTTGGGTGACTTATCCTTAAACCAGAATTACCGATGCAGGATACGGCTGTTCCGCGACTTCGTTCCGGTCAGTACACATTACACCTTTCGTTTTACACCTTTCCTTTTTACAATAATCAACGTAAATGGCCCGCCGTCGCCGCTGCGATTTTGAAAGTGAAAGCCAATAAGATCGACCTAGTAAAATCGAGCGCCGCGATGAAAAAAAATTGCACCGCGAGGCTTGTTTTCGGGTCACAAAATTAACGAGCGAATAAAGGCGGTTTTCTTCACGAACGATCGAAGCGTGCCCAGCTGTTTTCGATTACTTTCTAACTCGACATTTCCTCGGGGACAGTCGTAAGCGAATTAAAAATAAGGAAACGCCGTGCGGTTTCAACGATCGCTCGGCATTTGTTGCCAGAGATGGGTAAAACGCTGTTCTATACGTCCGGGTAATACACAATCCGATTTACTTTTCAATTCGAACATTTTATTTATAGATAAAGACGTTATTCAATATTTTATCTAAGAGATACTGACGATAACTGTCTATTGGAATTTCTTCCTCCAATTTAGGGTACTCTAAACGATGAATATTTTGATGAATGTACTAGTGTAGCACCTTCGATTTTACACGCACATTAAAATGATATTGTAGCAATTCCTTAATCGTTTAACGCATCCCGTTACCCATCTCTGGTCGGGACCGAACGGTAGAAAAATTCGTAAGATCTACCCCCGCTCTCGAAAGATTGCACTTACATTCGAAATCTCATGGATCGTTCGAAAAGTATCCCATCACCTTCGGCAACTATCTGTTCTTTTTTTTCTTTGCGCTTCTGTCGTATCAATTCTCCTCGATCGACGATGTTTGCCCGATCGTATAGCGGAAACTCGTGCAATAGCAACAACAGACGGCACACTACTGACACTTCAGGGTGGCGGATTCGAGGGTGGTGGTTTTTCCTACAGTCGGCGTTCGCCGTCGATCGAAACGGTGTCCAACATCGTATGTAGTTGTTCGCGCCGTTTCCTGGGCTATCCACCCCCGCATCGACTGTCACCCACGTGGATCGGGCCTGCGTTAGACTATGAACTTGACATGTCGTAGTCGGGTGTACGATCGGCCGTAATTGATCAATCGGGAACCCATTTGCCTCCACCTGGAACCGTGACAGTGTTAGGCATTTGCTTGTCAAACTATAATTTATTTGAGTAAGGGCTGATGTTTTATTCGTTGCTCGATTAGGGATTGCCAGACGTAGGACGCTTTCATGGCGACCTATGATTATATCTTTTCTTATTCTCATTAAAAGTCAGCTGTGGCTAAATTTATTCACATTCTAACCATGGCTAGACCTATTCGTGTCCTTATTAAAAGTCAGCTACGACTAGCTATGACTAGATCATAGAGTTCAAATTAACAAACGAACAACGAATATATTTTACACGTTACCGAATCTTTGATCGGCAGGCAGGCACGATCAGAGATGCGCTCGTGAATTCAAAACGTCACGAGAAGTTTCATTATTAACAAGGCCTCGATTGCTGAAAGATTCATATTCGGCCGTGGCCTTGAAAACGCTTTCCCGATCGTGGAGCACGAAAGGGGGAGGGGGGCAAGAATATTATCCAGGCGGTTTGCCGGACGAAAAATGCGAGAGCAGGGTTCAGTGATTGATTTCCAATTAGCCGATCGTTCTTCATCCGCTCGAGCGGAACGGGTTCCCTCTCGGAGAGAAAGAGGATGCGAGCAAGAGTCGTGTCCGGAGCCGTGCCGAGCGAAAATTACGGGAGGATCCCCACGGAAATGACCAGCTATAAATACACGGTAGTCGGCGCTGTAAACTTTATTGCGGCTCGTTTTCCGTTTGCGGACGCAACGCCGAGGAAAATGCGCTCGCGCGAAAAATTCCACGCCCCGGCAGAGCAACCCTACTCGCAAACGTTATACCCGTCAGTATTTTTGTGCCGGCGCAGCGGAGTCTATTCTCGTCCGTGCAATTCGATTTTTGCTCGCAGACCTCGTCGAGCTGATGCAGCCCACTGTCATCCGGAGGACGAGCGTTTCACTTCATGATGACTTCACTGCAGGGATCTGAAAACATCATTTTATATAGTAACCAGTGTATTTTAGTCTACAATGCGATTCCTAACAATAATTTCAGTCAGCCTACCCCTCAAACAAATTATTGTTTCAGGAGTTTCCACCCAAGACGTTAAATGCCTCTGTTTCGTTTGATCGAACAATGGTCTTCAGAGAGATGCACGTGCCAATGATCCTGTTCAAACCAAAAATAAATTTGCTTTCCCAAATATTATGGTTTCTTGTCTTGCTATTCATTTCCCTTTATTTGCTTCGATTGCAACGAACTAATCCAAACACACGTTTGAAACGCAAGACTCCTGCATCATTCTTTCTCTAAATTCTCTGCTTGCTTATTGACCCGCGTCACGGTAGAGGAAGTTGTTAACAAATCAGGTATCCACGAGATTTTGACCCCACGTGGCCCGATCATGGAACGAGGACTCAATTATGGCGTTCTATGATCGGTAGTCGTTGCTTGAGCGTTGTCTGACTAACGGTTACGAAAGTACGGTAGCGGTATTTATCGTACGACACACAAGGTAGAATAGAGTGGAATAATGATCACCGTCACCTTTACTCTCGCGCGTTGCAATGGAAACGTCCTACAAATTATCTTCCAAATGGGACGCTGTGTTCGAAAACAAACTGTTCATTATGAAATTAATAGCGCGTGGCCATTACTTGTCGTTGCTTTTCCGCAAGATTAACAAGTCCTTTTTGCTTCGTGCAGCCTTCGGGCAATTTCATAAGATCAAGGGGAACAGCGCTCAAGGAATAAATCCTCACCCCCGTCAGATCGGCTCACCCTCTTTTTGCTAATCAGTTCTTGCCGTTACGAATCCGATATGTCTACGGAATTAGAGTGTTCCGTTATTTATATTGCCCTCGTAAATTAAACACGCCTATTTCATCGACCACGACGTCGTTGCATTATTTGCGGACAACGTGGAAGATAACGGGAGTCATTTCTAACAATGTCGCCGGCGCATCATTCCTATTGATTAAGATCCTAATGGTAAAAATGTCATTCGGTGATACAAATTATTATCGCTGTCGCGGAGGGACACCTCGGGTTATTCCAGGGCGAAAGTGGCATTTATCGCATTTCGTGCCAACTCGCTTGGCTGACATTAAGCCGTGTGCAGACGATGCAGCCTGTCCATGCAGCCTTAATACCGGTTTAGCGCCGGGGGTCGTGTTGCAAGTCGTGTATTTTTCATAAATAAATGATGCTCGAGGAAGGTAACCGTGACGTAATGAAGATTTGCCTCGGTTAGATCTGGCTTAAACCACGGCCCCCATAGATCGATCTTCGCTTCTGAGAGTCCTTAAAGGAAGCGTCAGATATTGATCATTTTGAGACTTTTATACGTTAAAAATTAGTGTCTCGAGTCACGTCCTCTTATAAATAAATGATGCTGGAGGAAGGCATCTGTAATGAAAATCTGCCTCGGTCCAAATTCTTGATCCCCATACATTGGTCCTCAGTCCTCAGAGTCCGTGAAACAACTATCAGTTTCACAAAATTCCGAGGCTCTTGTACACATATTAAAAATTAAAGCATCAAAGAGACGTTCGTTTCCTCAATTCGAAACAGTCCTAGAAGGCAGCCGCTTCTGGAATGATCTGACATTTGCGGCGTCATGCAGACATGGATTAATCGCGGCGCAGGGATCGCTTAGATCTATAGTGGATAGGTGTACCCCTCATGAAGTCGTGTATAAGTAAATTATGGTATATAAGGACGGTGCACACAGCGGCTTCCTAATGTGAAGTTAGAGTTTTCCGGTCGATTACCGGGAGTATCAGACCGCGTCAGCAGTTCCTCGAACTTTTCAGCGCCGTTCTTTTCCTGATCAACCGAATGACAGCTCTGTGACAATTGTTTTCCTAGTATACCGCGGATCGATTCTCTGTCGATAATCCAGAGCACGACTCGCCGAATTATGCGGAAGCGAAGCAAAATCGAGCGTAGTCAATTATGCAGGAAGTGCGCCGAGATCGTTAGGGAGAAACGTTTTATTCGACGAAAGGAAATGCGCGCACGCCTTTCCATTTATCCAGATTGCCCTGTAAAACGCTTCCTTTGTGCGTTAGATATCGATCTGCGATTCAAACGAAGTTCGCGAGTCGGGCAATTTAAACCAATTACAAAAAATCACTCCCTCAACGCTCGCGGTATTCCACAGATCAAGCGCAGCTCTCTCAGTCTCTTCTAAATTAAAGAACGTAGTGTTTAACCGTGTAGCAACGCCGAGCTACCGGGGCTCAAGGTTTCGAAACGTTTCTGACAAATTGCCTGCCGTCGCGGGAACCAATAAACATAATCACCCACATGCGCAACGTTGAACGTGGCTCGCGTACGAACGCCTGCTAAAACAGAAATGGAAGTCTGTGTTAACGAACAGAGCGATTCTTAACTACAGAAAGGCGTAACGAATGTATCTTTGTTGAATTAACAACTTGAATGCCGTACAAGGGGCATTAACTACCTTGAATAATTTTTTAAAGCTCCTTCGGTTCTCGAATCTTATAGTTTCTGTGTGTTCTAGATGTATTTAGGACTGCCAGTAAAAACTGCCAAAAATGTATTACTTATGATTAAATAATAATTATCCAATTATGTAAGTTAGAATAAATACGTTTCTGTTTACCTGATTGTCTATCTAAGGGGCGAATAATCTTGTGATTACACTCCACGCAATGCTGCAACATTTTACTCATATAACCTGAATGAAGTAGGACACTTCGAATAACCAGCGAAGAACCTTGCTTCAGTGACAGGCAACCTAATTTCGGTTCCACGAAACAAGCAAAAATCCGTCCGTTTCGACAGAGGTCTGTTTCATCGTAGTTTCAAAAACCGTCGAAACCGACCAACGCCATCTTCTCTGGCGCGTGTTCGCCCGGGAACAATGGTAACCGTAGCGATGATCCTGGGGATTTCGAAATTCTCGGAAAACGAGACGGGGTCCTATAATAAAGTTGCAGGCTGCCGGTGCACGGTTGGTTTTGTAGCCGCGCGCACACAATGGCGCCGGCTTCTCACGTACACACGTGCGGCATGAAGCCGACGAGACACACAGGCGTAGGGAATGGGCCGTTTCTTCGTCTCCGTCACGCCATTGGACGCCTTCTTCTTCTCCTCCACCACCTTCTTTCTACGGCACAGAGAGTTCCTTTAAGCCGGCAGTTTCGTGTATTACACCGTGGCGTGTGCACACAAGACCCACGTAAGTTTACACGCTCACCGAGCCGCCCGAACACACAAAAGAGCGCCGGGGCCGGAGAGCGGAACGAGTTCTCCAGGTGTCATCCAGGTGTGTACCGCCGATCCAGGTTGACGCTCCTCTCCTCGTGCTCTGCGCCGGCTACCGACCGGATAAACAAAAGTAAAAGTTAACACGAGGAATCGCTTTAAACGCGTCGCGAAGGTACCTGCGTGTTTGGTCGGACTTGTCGGTGCGTTTCGCAAGTGGAAGCCTTTGTCTCTGGTTGTGCGATCCAGGGAGACTGTGATGTGACGAGTTCCGCGGGTGCAACGAGTGCCACGTTCTGCTAAGTGATCGGACCCTACTGTAAGTCTTATGGCAAATTCGTTCTGTTTATCTTGAGCGTTCGAGTCCTCACGTGGCCGTGAAAGATGTCTTACAAGTCGCACCAAGCTTTTAACCGTCGCACAATCCTAAACAATAATTGCACGATGTATACTAAGTACTTTTTTACGTGCGAAGGTTAACGAGTTCTTGACATACAACAGTATATCCGAAGCATCGCCTTTCTTATTAGTTGTAGTACTTAGCCACAGTTTACCTCATTAATCTATGACAATGAACGTCTATTATGCCTGGATCGTGGATCTGTATGCTTAATTGTGACTGGTGTATGTCGAGCTTCTTTATTTGAAAAACAGATCGTGTCTTGTGAACCGTTAAGTACCTATTGACAGTTCGAATGAATCGAGTGTAATGGGACAGAGTATGTAAATTACCAGTTCGAAAATCGATTACCTGTCCCGGCTGTCAAACTAGTTTCCACTATTTTGTGCGATGTTCGTGTCCCGTAAAATTGAAATGTACTCGACGAGCGAAGACTCGACATAAGTTTATTGTTACGTTATTTTTCGTTCCGTCATGGTCTCATTTGAAATTCACGCAACGAGTATCGCACACAATCGTCGTTTTATGCCATTGACATCTGGACATGAGTCACACTGAAACAAAATTGCGAACATCAGCATCGCATGCTTCTATTACGAGATGCACGCGGGATGCGCCACGAGGTGGTCCGAACTGTTTTGGACCACCTTTTTCTCGTAAATCATTCGAGCACAGGCTCGTTCTCCGTAATTTATCTTGCAAACTGCGTTCGCGACATTCTCGAGTGAGGCTGCACCGTTCGAAAACAGTCCGAGGTACTGACATTTTTTATGGACCATATTTCGGGAGAGAGAGAGAGAGAGAACCCGCGTTTTTTGAGGTTATTTCTGTCTGCCATATTTACTTCTCAAAATTGCACGGTATTCGCCATAAGAGTTCCCCGAGCTCGATCTGTTACGGGTCCCCGTGACTTCTGCAACGTTTTCGTAACGGAGGCGTTTCGAACATCGATTTATATTTAGAACTCGATCTGCAACAGACTATAATTGACCACGTGCAACTGGAAGTTCGGTAAAAGGGTCAAGCAGGTCGATTGAGACGGCGTTCGAAGCGGCTGTTTCATCATTGATCGAATCGACATATGGTTAACGGTTTATCTAGTCCGATAAAAACATCGGTGGTTGGCCAAGGTTGCATTTTAATCGGCTTTTCGTAATGCTTTCCATGATTGCAACTGTCGATAGAAAGTATCGTAAGAGATATTAATCCTTAAATACATATATTGCATCTATATTCTTTCAAATAATAGCTGTACAAAGAACTGCGCACAAAATAATTCGACTACCTTGCGACTTTCCGTCCATTATTGTCTGCTTATCGCTCATACATACATTCATTTTGTCCTTAACAGGAGAGTACCATAAATAATCATAAACGCACCTAGGTAATGTCAAATAAATGGCTACAACGCTTGCAGTTGCTCTTGCGCAATCGGCACCGGCTTTTCGAAAACTACGGTTAGAGTATTGGATAACGACCATTGGATCGAGAATCGGTCGGTACGATCGGCTATCGATACCGCTTAGTCGTTACAGTCGACATTGACGTCAACCTATTGTACCCGTTGCGATAATACTTATCGAACCTCGACAACTCAAATTTCTTCGACAGGCGATTATTATCGATTGCTCGATTGATACTTCGTTTGTGAGTAGGGTTCCTCAACTTGTTCGACTAAATTAAACGTCGTCACGAATGTCAACCGTCGTTTGCGACATAAGACAACTGTATCACGATCGAGTGAAAGAATCTAGTGATTTAATCAAGAAGTAAACCACCGGATCAGGATAGAAAAATACTGCGACACAGCGTACAGATTTTTTTGCTGTACAAGAAATAGAAAGGCTGTCTAACAAAAAGATCGCAAGATATCCCTCACGGGTTCCACGAACCCGTTCGCGGAGCTATCTTCCTAGGAAACTGCGCAGAAAGAACCGGCTAGGGGGAAAAAAACCGCGCGGCATTGTTCCTCTGTCGGATCGCGTTTATCCTATAACGTGAAACCCGCCTTCCACGTTTTTCAGCTCGGTTCGAGGGAGTAGAGCGAGCAGAGATTATGGGTCATTGTTTAGCTGAAGATTCTTGACCTCGAAACGCGCGCAACCGTTCGAAAAGCAGTTAGAAATGGCGGGAAAGAAGAATGTCAGGGATTCGTGGTGCTTTCATGCCGGCTACGAGGGTGAAAACGTTGTTAGCTCATTAAAGAACGGCGGCCTGGACCTTAATTCGCACCAAGAGACCCATGGTCCCACATTTCTGGGTTAAGCGAGAGCAATTACAAATTTAATCCGATTCTGCCTGCCGCGGCGGTTGCATCCTTGATTTAGGTTACCCGAATCAGGACTTTTAGCCACCACGTAATGCAAACGGTAAGTCGGCTTCAGTGTTCATTTATAAAATATCGAAAAATATAAATACAAATATAATACAAATATAAATACAAATAAAATATAAATACAAAGAAAGGGTTAATTCTTTAGACTGAAAGTTATATTAACATAACCCTGATGCCGAGGAAACGCCGGCGACACCGCAGTGTTGTCGTATTTATGGCTAAAGGGCGAATGCCGGTTAATTATTTTATTTATTAATTATTTTATTTATTATATATATTATTTTATTATATTTTATTTATTTATTTTAGTTACTCGTACTGCACTTAAACTTTTGGTAATTTATTAAACAATAAACAGATTTAATAACGTGATCATTTTTCTGCATTAGGTTCGACAATTATTCGTGGCGAAGGACGAAAGATCAGGATTAGGTAGTTTCCGTGCGATTTAGCATTCTCCTTTGTTGTTTATTCCGTTGCAGTAGTTTGAGGAAACAGCGCCGGTTTAGCTCGACCAGTTCAAGGTTGAAACCCTTGCAGTTCCCTGAAAGGGGAACGCTTACTCGGGAAAAAAGGAGAGGGTCTCTCACCTTCGCCACGGCGACCTTTTCTTGAAAATGTATGTCTATAGACTGGACAGCCTTAAGACAATTAAATGCGATGAGTCAGGATACCGCGCAGGCTCTGTGCTGTCCTTTTTTATTTATGGGGCAACATACTCGACCAGATCTATTAGTCATCCGGACATGCCATTTCCCTCAACCAACTCGTTACATACCTACAGCTTAACCGCTTATCCACGTGGCCGTTACCACTGATAATTGGCAGGGTAAATTATATTTTTTCATATATTCAGTTTGCGGAACAGATGTTTGGATCTAACTGATGTTAGACAATTTTCTATAACATTTAGCAACATTCTAGCTGTCAGATCTTCTATAGACAAATCTTATTGTTAGAATTCATATTATAAATCATCGATTATAAATTGATTTATAATTGTCCAAGAAGGCAGAACACTATAACGATTTTATTTTTTCTTTGTCATACTGATTTTCATTATGATTTGTAGGGACTAGAAAAGTTAGAGGATAGATTCTATCTCTACAGTTCCAGTCCTCCACTTTGACTCTACATATTGAAGAATAGCGATTTCAATCGATAAATCGCCGAGGTGCCGACTTCGCCAGGTTATTTGCAAGCTAGTAACAACACCTGCTTCATTTTTGGTAGCGAAGGGCGGTGTATCTCATCTCGAGCAATCTGGAAAACAGGAAGTGGTAGCTCAGGGTACTTATTGCAGTGTGTTGACACGAATTTCGACACCGAACGACCAGGCACGTGTCCCCTTAGGGGCAACAAATTGATGAGTAAGCGGATAAATCAGCAGCGGATAAACCGTGTGACCACTTCTATTCTGTTTCCAGGGTAGTGTTTACCTACTTGTTAAACCGGGGGCAATCATCCTCGGTCTGACTAGTCAGTGTCTAGCCAACGCCTTGTCCTTATCTGCTCGTACCGCACGTTGTCATTCTAGTCTCGTCTAGCAGCACGCTTCTGAAATAATAATCTCTGCTATCTGCGAATCCCTTGCGATTCGATGGAACATGGCACCGTGGCGAATGGAAAGAGTCGATTGTCAGCAGAGATACAATAAAGCTAGCTACCAGAGTAGTCAACGTTCGATATGCATGGCTGGATAATTTCAAACATTTGAAGAGTCAAGTGTTTGTTGCGAACAACCATCAGTAGATTGCAGTAAGATTTTATGCACGATTCTTCATTCGTTAAGATTATACCGCTTGGAAGCTTCAATCTCATATAGCACTTACGAGATTCCACTTCATATACCATTTATGAGATTCCACCTGATGTACCAACTCGTGAGCTTCTTAATGCTCTAAAACATTTCGTAGCAACGTGTTCAAGAACATTTCACGATGAAAACTCGTTTTCTTTGGAGCGTGATGCAACTATGATGTTCCAAGCAGGGTGAACAAGTTTCTCTTCCACTTCAATTAATAGAAATTAGTTGGGTAGCTAATGAACGAGTATAGCTACAGTAGCTATTCGTTTGGCTCCTATTACTTCTTTCTAACGCTTTAACGAAACACTTGAAAAGTGTTTCAACTTCCATGCGACATTTCCTCAATTTTAAAACCAATCAAAAGCAACAGTTATTATTGAAGTTCTCCGCATTTACAGGCGCTTCTGGTGTCCGAAACCGACCAGCTTAAGACAAATACTATCATTCGAAACTCGCGGAAAGAAACGCGGATATCGAATTCGAAACGAATTCGCAGCTCTACACGTTGCACTTGATCCGACACCCGACCACACCAAGGACCCTCGGAACTTCGAATTTAGCGGATTCCTATAGTTCACCGATCAGCCGACTCAACAATCCTCCTGTTTCCCTTACGACACCGATTTCTTCGTCACACCTGCGCAATTTAACGTATCCCGTCCCCGGTGTCGATTCTGCCGATTCGATCGCGGACATTTCTTCGCGTTAATTTCCACCTGGTTATATCAACAGGATTTTCGAGTCGGCGGCTGACATTTGTTTGCCCGTAGAACAAAGTTTCCGCTAGTTAGCCACGTTCAGTGATATTTTACGGTCCGCGAATATCCGGTCTCGCCTCGCAGGCTCGTGAACCGCCGGCAGATTGAGATTACGCAAGAACTGTGTGGTTCCCTAAAAAAAGATTTTTTATCGGGACTGTTATCCGCCGGGGAACCGGCTGCTCTCAGCAGATTTTAACGAGCCACTTGCCGACCGATATCTATCAATCATCTAGGCTAGACCAGTTTCTAGCACTTAAAGGGAGAACCGCCGCCCTACCGTCTCGCTCTTGTTTCTTTAACGCTATTAATTGTCGTCTCGAATTCAATATCCAGGATCGATAAATTCTGAATTTCTGGAAACCTTTTCTTTCTCTACGAAATAATTTACTGCTTCTCGTTCTATTCCATGTTCGTAAAGAGAGACATTAAATCGAGAGAATAAATCCGACGCAAAATTTCGCTTCGAATTACCTGAATAGTGTCACAGCGATGGATGTTCGATCCTCCTCCGATCTCTTCTACACGCAAAGAGGAAAATCGAGCTTTCTTCGACGCCAAAGGTCGAGCCACATTTCAATCCCGTAATCTCAACTACCGGCTCGGTGAACCGCTAATTGAAGCGTAGTCCGAAAACGCGGAAATCACCGCGAAGTTCAACGACGACTCGTTA